ATGACCTTCCGCCAGCCTTCACAAAGTGCTTAAAACTATCTGGACTTCAGGAGAAAAAAACTGCTCTGCGCCTTCTTGACTCTTCCCAGAGCACAGCACATCCTGGTCAGTTGTTGTGAAACAATAGGTATCACAGAACCTGCCTAGGTACCTAACAAAGGCCAGATAGAGACACCACTGCCCCTTGGGACACTAAGTCCTAGATCATCGTTTTGTCTGGTCATGAGTCCCTGCTCCTGGCTCAGAGACCATGCAGGGCCTCATTACTTAAACACACAGTTTGACTTGGGGTTACACAAAGACAAAGCCACCCTGGGAAAGTCTCCATTGGGCAAGTCTTTTATCAGCCCAGGCATCATTATCTCCAGGACTACGTGCAACACAGCAGGACAGGAAGGATTTATCTGTTTCTGTTTAAAGAATACAAGGGTCGTTTGGCTTGAAGGTTCCAAATTTGAGTGTATGTTAAATGTATTCCCCTGCTATTTCATGACCTACCATTAGCAACTACTCTCAGACACAGGAATGCATGCTCTCTGATTCAGCTAGTGAAGAAACAGCCACCCTACAACAGACAGCAGGGAGCCACCAGCGAAGATAGGTACCCATGACGCTAATGATAAGGTTCTATTTGTGTCTGGCCTTCAGGGAGGTCAGTGAGATTGGTCCCATTTCTTGTGACCCAAACTCCGTATGGTAGAGGAGGTTTAATTGGCAAGTTAACCAGGAGGAGAAGGGGCATAGATGTAACATCCACTGGCTCCCTTGGCACCCAGGAGTTACTCATTTTACCCAGCCAAGAAGGGGCCCTGAGCAATTGCTCATCTGTCTGCCTCAGAGCCCCTCTGAATTCCCCAGCTTCCAGTAAGTCAGTCACTTACCTTCCGTGGAGAGGAGGCCAGAGGGGCTGGAAGCCAGTCATCTTTAATGAGCCTGGAAGGGTCCCACCTGGGACCAACCTGCTCTCTGCACATAGAGGCCCCTTTCTTCTGCTCCCCCAGAAGCATTTCCTTCTGTGCTTCATTTAAATGGCCCCAAAATGGCTCCTAGACCTCCTCCATCTCACAGTCTAAGCTCATTAACACAGTCAGAGGAAGACAGGAAAAAAAAATACCAAAACAACCTTTCAAAACTGAGACAGGGATCCCTTATGCTCCCTGTTTCCATAGTCACTCACCTTAGGTACAGCATGGAGCAAGCAATGTCAGCCATCATCCGAAAACACAACAGCGCCTCCTTGGGAGAGACAATTACTTGCTCAACAAATAGTCTTAAAACACATATCTTAAACCAGATATTCTTCTAGGTCTTAACCATAATGTATCTTTATCTGTTTCATGCCTATTTTAACAGAATACCTGAGAATGGGGAATTTATAAGAGAGAGGGGGATTTCAGAATATATCGCTATTTCCTGTTTACTATAAAAAACTATTTGAGACTGGTTAACTTGAGAGAGCAGGGCAGGAAAAAGAGAGATTCTAAAAGTCCTGCTGACTGCAAAGGCTAAGGTCCTGGAACCACCAAAAGCCAAGAATGTTGAAATCCAGGGTCCTCTAGTTCCAGACTTCTGTCAAAGCAAAACCAACTTCCTTTCAAACTGCAATGCTAAAGGACCCCCACAAGCATCTCAGAGAACACAGCTGGATGAGACACGCTCCCTCTTTGCTCTCACAGATGCTCCTGCCCACAGATGCCCAAGGACAGCTCTCTACACAGTCTTTGTTAACTAGGAAAAACGAAGAGATGTGGATGGAGTGTTCAAGGCCAGAATAATCTCAGACATGAGGTACCCACATCGGTTTCTTCAGCATCAGACATAAGGTACCTACATCAGCCATCTTCAGCATCAGACATGTGGTACCCACATCAGCCATCTTCAGCATCAGACATGAGGTATCCACATCGGTTATCTTCAGCATCAGACACCTGGTACCCAAATCGGCCATCTTCAGCAGCACTCTATCTATAAACCAAACTCCCCAGACCCTGAAGTGTAAAAGTCTTTAATTTGGACACAATCATGAATCTCTTGTTGGCCAATAAGAAATTTAGAGTCCTCTATGAGGCATTAACACTAACTCCAGGGATCCGGCCCAGTTTCAATATTTCTTTCCTGGTAGGAGTCATGTTCTAACTTTCTATTGAAGTTTTATTGCATGATTTAAAGTCAGGATCTTCAGCATGGCCCATGTGTGGAGTATTTTTGATGGTGATAAGTATGATGATGGTGATGACAGTGATTATAACAATAATTTTTATTATGATGATGATATAGTAGCAGTGATTATTTTGATGACGAGGATGATGTTGATGATGATGATGATGGTGATGACGATCGTGAAGTGGTGGTGGTGATGGTAGTGATGGAGAACTTGCCTCTAGGGGACTGATCTTCTCCCAAACAATTTCTGAGTTCATGGAGTGCTCTGGGAAACTTGGCTGAGGGAAGCCTGATGAGCCCAGGGTACTGTAGAGCAGCATGGTTGATTACAAGCAGAGCTTTGGCAAGGCTCTCTGACTGCTGCTGCAACTCGTATCGGCCTAAAGTTATCACGGAGCCGGGGGAGCTGCCTTTTACTTCTCTCCTTGGTCCCACCCAAGTGGAGTCTTGGCACACGATGTCTCTGCCAGTGCCCTTGGCTGCCTTTATTCCTTGGGGAACATCCCAGCACCCACCTTGTCTTTTGTCATTTCAAGATCCATTTCAGAAGCCAGATGCTATTTGCATTTCTCATGATTATGAAGGAAAAAAAACCTATTCACAAATAAACTAACCAGATGAAAATATTAATTAGATTCCCAGACTGTTAATAACCTTCATGAGGAAATGCAGACCAAGAGTAACTGAGAAGGAGCCCCAGTGCTGGGTGTGGCGGTCAGCTTTAACCTTAACCTGACCTAATCTAGAGCCACCTGAAAAAGGGTTCCCCCGGGCATGCCTGTTATGTTGATCGCCTTAGTTAGGGTGGGAAGCCCCACTCACTGAGGGGGCCATTGACTTCTCTGCTATCATGACTGTACTCTGGAACTGTGACTGGAACAAACTGTTTCTCCCTTAAAGTCCTTTTGTAAGACTTTTATCACAGAAACAGGAGAATCTAAGATACCAGGCGTGCATTAAACCTTGTCAAGAATGTTCCATCTCCTTCCGGTAGACACCTTAGCTGCATGGAGAACAAGACCAAGGCTCTTTATCATTGCCTCATCCCCTTCTGACTTCTCAGGGAGACTCCTGACTGTTTGCTTTGCTCTAATTCCCCTTCATCAGCCTTTGAGATATCCACACAAGAAGAATGTAATTGCATCAGTCCCTGTCTCCTCGCATGACTACCATGCATCGCAAATGCAATGGTGCTTGCACAGCTGATGGTCCATAAGAAGCAGCACCAAACAGTAGCTATTACCACCCACAGAGCCCCACAATCCTTGCCTCTCTGCAGCAGTCAGAAGTTGCTGGGTTAGGAATATGTCTGTCGTAAAAAACACTGATAAATGTAAGATAGGCATGATGAAGCATGGTTCGTAGGCGTCTTAATTTTTACCTCTGTTGGAAACTGCAAATAGAAAAGCAAAGAACCCGCCGCTATTTTCCTGAGCTCTTGTATTCCATGACAATTATACTTGTTATTATTTAAATACCCCTGTTTTTATTACTGCCCTGACAAATTGCCAGAAACTCGGGAGATTGGAATAACACAAGCTTATTGCTGTGGTGTCTGCGGTTCATAAGGCCAATGTGGGTCTCACTGGACTGGAATCAAAGCTAATGTATCAGGGCGGCATTCCTTCCTGGCCCTGAGGAAGAACTCTATTCCAAGCTCCCTTAGCTTATTGGACACATAAATCCAACTCCTTGCGTTCTGGGAAAGAGGTCTCCGTTGTGTTGCTCGCTGTGGGAAGCAAGGCTGTCTTTAGCTCTCAGAGGCCTTGCATAGGTCTTTGTAGGGGGCACCTGCATCTCAGGACCAGCAATGACATGTCAAATATGCCTCTGCCCGCAACATCTCTGCCTTGAGCTTCTGCCGCATCTGGTATACCTTTCTCACTACTTAAGACCCTGTGTTATCATAATGGGTCCACTCATTCAGATGATCCATGATTATCTCCATGTTTCAGGGACTTTTATCTCGATTACATGTTCCAAGTTCCCTTTGCTATGTTCTCTAATCTACTCATTCAAAGGCTTTGGGTTTTGCATGTGGGCATCTTTGGAGGCCATCTCTTGGGCCACTCCTGGTGATGAATGACTTTCCTGCTCTGTGCTAGAAAAACCCATATTTTCAGCAGGATACAGCAACAAAGAATTGAAACTAGAAAGACCAAATTCAGAGGCAGGCCTCCAGACCTAAGAAAGAATTAGTAAAGTGCCAAGGTGCCACCATTTGGAGATGGACCGCAATGTAAACAGCCCAGGCGGCGTTCGTAAACCAGAGCAGCCAAACAGGAAGTAGACTGCTGCTGGGAAAATCTCATAGACTTTGCGCTCACACAGCCAGAGCAGCCTGGAGAAGTTTGACTAAGCGTTGGACTTCCTGGACTGCCAAGTCAGAGGTCCTTCCAACTGCATGACTTAGAAGAGGGTAACCTAGAGAGCTAGATCGCTTTCCCGTGCTCCTATTGCATGAATTTGGAGTTGGAAGGAGGGCGCTAGGGAAGTCCTCGTCACCTCAGATCACCTCACTGCAGCACCATCGCTAACTGCAAATATTCGGGATACTGAACCATGGAAGAATCCTGCTTCCTTTCCCTGTGCTGTGCTGTGTGTGTGCCTTTAATTTTTAACACTAGACCAACTCCTTTCAGCCCCTCTACCTGAGAGGATGCTAATTATACTGCTACCCGTTATGAAGATTAACAAAAAATGTGGGAAGACTGTTGGCTGCTGGAAATACAGTCACCAGAGGGCTCCCTCAAGAATTTCACCATGTGGAACGTCACTCAGGACAGGTGAGTGAAGGTGACAGGAAGACCCCATAGCATGCACAGAAACAATTCAAAATGAATCTAAGCTCTCAGCACCGCCTCCCCTTTTATCAGAGGCAGGACAATTGTTCTGGCTTCCTGCACCAAGGGTGTGTGTTTCTATCCTACGCCCTGCACTCCAACCCCTGTTCCAGACCCCAGAGGCCACTTCTCGTTCTGGCTTCTCTGGCCTCCTTGTGAGTTCTCCTGCTGGCTGGTTACTCTGATTAATTTTAATTGTCAATCTGCACCTTGGTGGCGGTACCCAAATTAAACTGTGTCTGTGAAGGTATTCCCAGCATCCCAATCTGTGGACCCGAGAAGGTAGATCACCCTCCCTAATGCAGATGGCATCATCCAGTCTGTGGAAGAACCGGGAAGAACAAAAAAGTGAGAACTTGTAGTGGCGACCCTGGCAGCCTCAGAAGATGGAGCAGGAGCATTTTTTTCCTCGAGTCAAGGAATTTCAGACCAGCCTGGATGGACACATAGCCAAATCCTGTCTACAAAACTAGAACAAAAAGGTAAAATGGGAAGGAATTTCTCTTATACTTTCTGCCACCCACAAAACTAGAACAAAAAGGTAAAATGGGAAGGAATTTCTCTTATACTTTCTGCCACCCGCTTGATATTTGGAGTTCTAATCTTTTTATGTCCTTGGACTGGCTCTTTGGGCTTTCAAATCTTTGGGCTTTGACATTAGGAACCATCTGTACTGGGTTTTCAAGCCTGCCTACAGCAGGAGGCAAGGTCTCTTTACCTCCCTACATCTCTTTCTCCATACATCCTACTGGATGTATTTGACTAGAGGACCCTGGCTGATCTGTGGGTTCTATGCCAATGACAGCAGCTTCTCTGGGTGCTTATTTTAGCTACAGTTTTCCAGAAGAGAAGCACTACAGGTCAGAGCAGGGTGTCCCATGGTGTGGGATGTTCTCCCCTCTAATGCCTTTGGGGGTGGTTTTTAGCAACCAAGTGTGCAACACACTTTGCAGTCATTTCAAGTGGCAAGCGGGGCTGTAATGGCACAAAGCTAACAGGCTTTCCTGTGAATTCCCTCAGCTTGGGGAAATGGAAGTGAAGAGAAACACAGCCCAGGGCACCAGACCTGTGTGAACTTCTGAGGAGCAGGTTGGCAGCCTTCTGGGGAATGTTCTCCATTCACTTCTGTCCTAAAGCTCTTGCTTCTGCCTGGTGATGAGTTGAGTTTGTCTGTCCCAGGATACGCAATGCCAAGACACTCACGTGAGCCTTAAGTTCTCACACACAGGCGGCCACCGCCAAGAGCTTGCTACAGACTTCTGCAGTCACATGACCTCTCCGGAACTCAGTGTGTCAATTGTCAACAGAGGAGTTCAGGTGGGATTAAGACACTTCAGCAAGGTGACCCTGGTACATTCTCCCTTCCTCGGACCCCGAAAGCGTTACTGCTGCGAAGGCAATAGAAAAGTCTACACATTTTACTCACAGATACACTGTGGAGAAAGTCCGCTTTTTGCCCAATACTAAGGTTTTTCCAACATAGGTAGGTTCTACAGCAACCTTATAAATATAATGGCACATGATACTGGAAGGTTAATAGTCCCCTACTGGACATTAAGCTCCTCAAAGTTGATGAGCCTGCCAGGACTCTTCCGTGTCCTCACGACAACCCCCATAGAGTAGGGTGCAGGTTCTCAAATGTATTAAAGCAAAAGCCTAGGCACTGTGCTTCATCTCAGGGACAGCTTGCTCAGAATCTTGAGGAACGGAAAACTGTTTTGTTTTGGGCTTCTGCTTTTTTTGGTTTGGGGGCAGGGTTTGGTGTATGCATGCATGTACATTTATGTATATGTGTGTTCCTTTGTGTTCACATGCATGTGTGTATGCCAGTAGGTGTACACACGTGGGCATAAAGTTTAAAGGCCAGAAAACCTCAGGGATCTTTCCCCAGTTGTCATCTACCTGTTTTGCAAGAGACTGTCTCTCGTTCACCTTGACAGAACATACAGCAGCGGTTCTCAACCTACGGCCCTTTAACACAGTTCCTCATGTTGTGGTGACGCCCCCCCCCCCATAAAATATTTTCGTTGCTACTTCACAACTGTAATTTTGCTACTATGAATCATAATGCAAGTAGTTTTGGGATAAGAGGTTTGTAAAAAGGGGTCGCAACCCACCGGTTGAGAACCACTGGTCTGGAATAACCTGTGTGTGCCTTTGTGGAAACAGGTTCTTGTGTGTGCCTTTGGGTGATCTTGATTACATGAACTGATGAGGAAAGACACTTCTTAGCCATAGGTGGGACCATGCCCTGGGCAGGGACCCTGGTCTGTATAAATGGAGAAAGGGAGCTGGGCAGCGGAAAGCTTCTACTACTTGCTCTCTGCTTCTTGACAGGATGTGACATGAGCAGCAGCCATGACTTCTGTGGTGGGCTGTGCTTTGAACTGTGAGCCAGAATAGGCCCTTTCTCCCTTACATCACTTTCACCAGGGTCCTTCATTAAAGAAAGGAGAGAGGAAACGGAGACATCCTGACCCTTGTCAAATTAGCCTGGCTGTGCGGCAGGCCTCGGGGAATGCCCCTTCTCCACCTCCTCCAAACTCCAATTAAAAGCCTGTGTCACCACACCCGGCTTTCACATGGGCTCAAACTCAGTTTGCCATACTTTTTCAAAGTTCCCCAATGATTCATTCTAGTGAGAGGTGAGCTTCGGAAGACACGGTTTAACGAAAGCATACGGTAGGTACTCCTCTGTTGATTGTATATTGGAATCTGACCATCTGGTCAACCAAGTCAGCAAAGAAAAGAAGACAGAAAGGAAAGAATTTCTCTGTGAGGAAGAAATCCCATGGCTGTCCAGGCTGGAGGAGTGAAGCCGGGTCTGCTTCTTGGCTTCCATTTCTGATTAGTCCCTCTGCAATAACTATATCTGCCCTTCAGGATTCTAATTGTTACTTATGGAGTGACAGGAACAGTAAATGAAGAACTCCCAAGCACCAAATCCTTCCATCAGCTTTTAGGTACAGAAAAGGAGCGTGGCTATTAAGGGGACAAAGCCACCCTAAGGATAGGAAGACAGCAATCGGTGCCGTTGGCCAATCACATCTTTCTGTCATCCATGTTTGCTAGATGTCAGAATGCAATAAGGTGCCCGAAGAGGGAGGTTTGGAAAGGTAGAGAAAAGTCTTTGGACCTTTTCTAATCTTTTGTTCCCCACAACATCCACTAGGGAAATTAGGTGTCCTTGGCACTTTGCCCTGCTAACAATTGACAGGGGTTCCCTTGATCTAGACGAGGCTCGTAGCTCTTAACACGAGCAAGAGATAGGATATCACAACCACCAGTCACTTGAGCTCTTTTCTCTCCCCGTGTCAGGCGTGTGGTTCTGCACACACAAGAAAAGGGGGGGGGGGTCAGCTGCAGAGGCAAGGAGGAGGCCAAGGCAGGGGAAACGTTCAGTGGGCAATTAAGACATTTTGCGTCAGGGGAGTGAGGTACGCCTATTGGAGCAGCTTGTCTTGGGCTACAGCTCAAGGCCTGGCTTGGTGGGTAACCCCGGGCCCTCCCAGAGCAGCGCCTTGCCCTGAGAGAAGGCAGGGGCTCCGACCTGTGCGGATATGAGAGCACAAAGCGCATCCGTAGCTTTACTGACTAAAATCACCCAGAAAGCTTGCTAAAATTCACGCGCCCAGTGCCCTCCCACAGTGGCTTTTTGCCCCAATACTAGATTGTTTGTGAGTGATTAGGAAATGACACAGTCTCTTCATGGCTTCCTCACAGGCTCCTCAGCCACGGTCTGTTTGGCGTGTAAGAAATGGCGATGGAGAAGTGAGCCTCCGGTAGGTCAGCTGGCCCTCAAAACTCGGCTTGTAGCTAAACCTACACTGGCAGGAGCTGTGATCTCCTTATTCTGAAACAGCCAGCTGGCCTGGCCTCACCTGAGGGGAAACTCAGCTGCGGGTATGTGTCAGGAAAACTGTGACACTCGAGAACTCGCCGACAGTGTGGCCAGGGTTAGATGACCGCCTTTTCGAGCTGGTCTGGTCAGATTTCCAGATGCAGGAGAGGCCGTGTGGGGACAAGGCTCCTCTGTCATTTACCGTGTTCAACTTTGTGTGTGTATGTGGTGTGTGTGTGTGTGTGTGTGTGTGTTCACAGACTTGGAGTGCATAGAAACAATGGCTCTCAGTGGATATATAAAAATATGTTTTTATATATTTTATAGAGATATATATTATATATATAGAGAGAGAGAATATGTATGGGTGTGTGTGTGTATGTGTGTGTGTCTAACTTTGGGGGTGATTACTTTATCCTTCTTTAGTTGAAGATAAAACCCTTCATCCTCATGCCCACTAGAGCATCTGTGTATTGAACCATGAGAGAGGAAAAAGTGCTGTATTAGTCAGGTTTTTCCAGGACAGAACTGAGAGAATAGATGTTTTTACGAGATTGACTTACAGTGTTGGAGGTTGGGAGGTCCCACAGTGACTTTCTGCACATAGGTAAGGCAGAAACTCAATGGCTACTCAGTCAGAGAAGCTAGAAGCCACATATCAATGGGGACCAATGACATAGCCCTAGACCAAAGCTGAAGGCCTAGAACCTCCTCCCTGGAGAGTTGCTAGATGGTCCTGAAGAACCGAAGTCTGAAGTCAGACTGAGCTCCAGGGGAATGACAGCTTTGGCAGACTGCTTATTTGGGAAGAAGGGTTCCCATATGCTACCTGGCCTTCCCTTTCAGTCCATCTGTGCCTCTGGCTCCTAGATGGAGCCTCCCATGTTCAGAACTGGTCTCAGCTGCAGTCACACACACTGAACCGGCCTCAATCTTTTCTGGAAAAGTCCTCAAAGACACACCCAGATGTGTGCTCTGCTAATCGCTTAGACATCTCTCTATCTAATCAAGGTGGCAATAAAATTAAGCACCTCCAGTCCTGACACTATCGGACCTTACAGGCTCGTTAGGGAATTCTGCACCAGAGGGACGACTCTTCACTCTCTCCCAATCCGTTTCTAACCAGTTCACACCAATCCCAAGCCAGTTCACACTTCTCAGATCAAGGCAACCATTCCCATTTTGTCAGTGTTTACTGACCTACATATTCCAGGTACAGTATACCAAAGATGTATAATAAATTAATCAGCGGGAGAGACTGGAAGACAATTTCTGATGTCAATAATATGTACGTAATCCAAGGGTCTTTATGTCCACCTGGGTTTTCTCAAACCAGGATAGTGAATAGGGGGTCCTCTCAAAGGAAAAGAAAATGCAGAACCTTCCTGGGTGGCTTGAAATGATTTTATCATGTCTAAGTATAAAACTTGGTTCAATTTTTTTTTAGCTTACAAACAAATGCAAGGAGATATCTGGAAAAGGCACACTAAGGAAACCTTTTGGAAAAACTAATAATATCCAAATTAACAATACCAGCTTAATGGTGGTGTTTTTGCTGAAACCAAATTAGCAGTGTTGAGTTCAATAATAGAACCTCAGGACTGGCTCTTTCTTTAATCAGCTTTGCAGTTTGTCTTTTGA